AACGTGTGTGTTGGAGGGTGAACGTGTGTGTTGGAGGGTGAACGTGTGTGTGTTGCAGGGTGAACGTGTGTGATGGAGGGTGAACGTGTGTGTTGCAGGGTGAACGTGTGTGTTGGAGGGTGAATGTGTGTGTTTGAGGGTGAACGTGTGTGTGTTGGAGGGTGAACATGTGTGATGGAGGGTGAACATGTGTGTGTTTAAGGGTGAACGTGTGTGTGTGTTGGAGGGTGAACGTGTGTGTTGGAGGGTGAATGTGTGTGTGTTGGAGGGTGAACGTGTGTGTGTTGGAGGGTGAACGTGTGTGTGTTGGACGGTGAATGTGTGTGATGGAGGGTGAACGTGTGTGTGTTGAAGGGTGAACGTGTGTGTTGGAGGGTGAATGTGTGTGTTGGAGGGTGAACGTGTGTGTTGGAGGGTGAACGTGTGTGTTGGAGGGTGAACGTGTGTGTGATGGAGGGTGAACGTGTGTGATGGAGGGTGAACGTGTGTGTTGGAGGGTGAGCGTGTGTGTGATAGAGGGTGAATGTGTGTGATGGAGGGTGAACGTGTGTGTTGCAGGGTGAACGTGTGTGTTGGAGGGTGAACGTGTGTGTGTTGGAGGGTGAACGTGTGTGTGTTGGAGGGTGAACGTGTGTGTGTTGGAGGGTGAATGTGTGTGATGGAGGGTGAACGTGTGTGTGATGGAGGGTGAACGTGTGTGTGTTGGAGGGTGAACGTGTGTGTGTTGGAGGGTGAACGTGTGTGTGTTGGAGGGTGAACGCGTGTGTGTTGGAGGGTGAACGTGTGTGTGTTGGAGGGTGAACGTGTGTGTGTTGGAGGGTGAACGTGTGTGTTGGAGGGTGAGCGTGTGTGTGATAGAGGGTGAATGTGTGTGATGGAGGGTGAACGTGTGTGTGTGCAGGGTGAACGTGTGTGTTGGAGGGTGAACGTGTGTGTGTTGGAGGGTGAACGTGTGTGTGTTGGAGGGTGAACGTGTGTGTGTTGGAGGGTGAGCGTGTGTGATGGAGGGTGAACGTGTGTGTGTTGGAGGGTGAACGCGTGTGTGTTGGAGGGTGAACGTGTGTGTGTTGGAGGGTGAACGTGTGTGTGTTGGAGGGTGAACGTGTGTGTTGGAGGGTGAGCGTGTGTGTGATAGAGGGTGAATGTGTGTGATGGAGGGTGAACGTGTGTGTTGCAGGGTGAACGTGTGTGTTGGAGGGTGAACGTGTGTGTGTTGGAGGGTGAACGTGTGTGTGTTGGAGGGTGAACGTGTGTGTGTTGGAGGGTGAATGTGTGTGATGGAGGGTGAACGTGTGTGTGATGGAGGGTGAACGTGTGTGTGTTGGAGGGTGAACGTGTGTGTGTTGGAGGGTGAACGTGTGTGTGTTGGAGGGTGAACGCGTGTGTGTTGGAGGGTGAACGTGTGTGTGTTGGAGGGTGAACGTGTGTGTGTTGGAGGGTGAATGTGTGTGTTGGAGGGTGAACGTGTGTGTGTTGGAGGGTGAACGTGTGTGTGATGGAGGGTGAACGTGTGTGTGTTGGAGGGTGAATTTGTGTGTTGGAGGGTGAACGTGTGTGTGTTGGAGGGTGAACGTGTGTGTGTTGGAGGGTGAACGTGTGTGTGTTGGAGGGTGAACGTGTGTGTGTTGGAGGGTGAACGTGTGTGTTGGAGGGTGAACGTGTGTGATGGAGGGTGAACGTGTGTGATGGAGGGTGAACGTGTGTGTTGGAGGGTGAACGTGTGTGTTGCAGGGTGAACGTGTGTGTGATGGAGGGTGAACGTGTGTGTGATGGAGGGTGAACGCGTGTGTGTTGGAGGGTGAACGTGTGTGTTGGAGGGTGAACGTGTGTGTTGGAGGGTGAATATGTGTGTGTTGGAGGGTGAGCGTGTGTGTGTTGGAGGGTGAACGTGTGTGTGTGATGGAGGGTGAACGTGTGTGTGTTGGAGGGTGAACGTGTGTGTTGGAGGGTGAACGTGTGTGTTGGAGGGTGAACGTGTGTGTGTTGGAGGGTGAATGTGTGTGATGGAGGGTGAACGTGTGTGATGGAGGGTGAACGTGTGTGATGGAGGGTGAACGTGTGTGTTGGAGGGTGAACGTGTGTGTTGCAGGGTGAACGTGTGTGTGATGGAGGGTGAACGTGTGTGTGATGGAGGGTGAACGCGTGTGTGTGTTGGAGGGTGAACGTGTGTGATGGAGGGTGAACGTGTGTGTGTTGGAGGGTGAACGTGTGTGTTGGAGGGTGAACGTGTGTGTGTTGGAGGGTGAACGTGTGTGTTGGAGGTTGGAGGGTGAACGTGTGTGTTGGAGGGTGAACGTGTGTGTGTTGGAGGGTGAACGTGTGTGTGTTGGAGGGTGAACGTGTGTGTTGGAGGGTGAACGTGTGTGTGTTGGAGGGTGAACGTGTGTGTGATGGAGGGTGAATGTGTGTGTGTTGGAGGGTGAACGTGTGTGTTGGAGGGTGAACGTGTGTGTGTTGGAGGGTGAATGTGTGTGTTGGAGGGTGAACGTGTGTGTGTTGGAGGGTGAACGTGTGTGTGTTGGAGGGTGAATGTGTGTGATGGAGGGTGAACGTGTGTGATGGAGGGTGAAAGTGTGTGTGATGGAGGGTGAACGTGTGTGTGATGGAGGGTGAACGTGTGTGTTGGAGGGTGAGCGTGTGTGTGTTGCAGGGTGAACGTGTGTGTTGGAGGGTGAACGTGTGTGTGTTGGAGGGTGAAAGTGTGTGTTGGAGGGTGAAAGTGTGTGTTAGATGGTGAACGTGTGTGTGTTGGAGGGTGAACGTGTGTGTTGGAGGGTGAACGTGTGTGTTGGAGGGTGAACGTGTGTGTTGGAGGGTGAAAGTGTGTGTTGGAGGGTGAAAGTGTGTGTTAGATGGTGAACGTGTGTGTGTTGCAGGGTGAACGTGTGTGTTGGAGGGTGAACGTGTGTGTGTTGGAGGGTGAAAGTGTGTGTTGGAGGGTGAAAGTGTGTGTTAGATGGTGAACGTGTGTGAGTTGGAGGGTGAACGTGTGTGTGTTGGAGGGTGAACGTGTGTGTGTTGGAGGGTGAACGTGTGTGTTGGAGGGTGAACGTGTGTGTGTTGGAGGGTGAACGTGTGTGTTGGATGGTGAACGTGTGTGTGTTGGAGGGTGAAAGTGTGTGTTGGAGGGTGAAAGTGTGTGTTGGATGGTGAACGTGTGTGTGTTGGAGGGTGAACGTGTGTGTGTTGGAGGGTGAACGTGTGTGTGTTGGAGGGTGAACGTGTGTGTGTTGTGTAAGAACAGGGACGTACGGTCGGCGTGTTTCCGGCTGACCCAGATGGTGCGGTTTGCTGACGTGATGAGGTCATTTCTGTCACGACTCATTACCGTCACAAACAGCCTGTGGTGTCTGGGCGACTCGCGCTGCTGCTCGTATGGCGTGAGTTGTAAACAGTGCTGTTTGGGCAGAACCGGAGTGAAAACCTGTCGCTGTGTTTTTGCTGCTCCATAAACTTCATTTTGCCCTGTGAGGAGGAAACGTCTGGCCCCCAGAGGGCGCTCTTCATCCCTCAGCTTAGCACACCTAACTACACCTCACTGCTGCAGCTATGCCTCCGTCCAAATGTCCTGATCGGTCAGTTATGGGGACGTCGGAGAAGCCAGCGCTGCAAAAACATGAATTTAAAGATGGAAACACATCAAAACAGAATCTGCAGGAAGTGACATCATCGTTCCAAATGTTTTTATTGGTAAAGGTCAGTTTGGTGGACAAAGGCTGCTGGGCAGCAAAAATCCCAACAATTTTGTTTCCTCGTTTCCTCGTTTTATTATTTGCAGTTCAATAGAACCTTACAGTCATATGCAAAAGTTTGTGCACCCCTGATCAAATTCCATACTGTTGTTTATTTTCGGAGTGTGAATCAGTTACAGATCCTCTACGGAGACACACTTTTAATACACCGGAGAAAATAGACGATGAAACGTGGCCTGTGCAAAAGTTATGGCACATTTTATTTATTTAACATTTTTAATGTTAAACTCTGCAAATAAATGGAAATTCTGCACTAACATTTCAGACAATGTCACATTTATGTGTTTCTCTGTAGCAGAATCATAACTTTCACTTAGAAAAGTCATTTAAATCTGAACGAGCAGTCACTGCACAGGGCGGCCCTCAGTGAGCACTGTGTTCACAAAACGTAGTAAAATATTAGTTAATGCTGAAATTTTTAATTAAAACCAATTTTTATGTGTTTTGAATGAATTTTGATTGTAAATATTTTATTTGATATTAATGAAGAATAGATTCTGTATGAACATTTCATATTAACGGGGAAATATCTGCTCCAACCAGTTCATTTCCATTCCACATTGAGGGCTGAAGAAAAGAGTTAAATGTGTTAGAAATTTCAGTTTAAAGTTTAATTTAATCCACAGCAAAGCTGATCTAGAGAACTCATCACCGCAAAGGCTGAATGTTGTCACCCTCTAGTGGTGAAGTGCTGGTGTGGCAGAATTAAAAAAACTGCTCTTTTCTGCAGAGATCAAACAACCTTCTACAGCTAATCCACACGATAACCAGCA